GCTCTGCCACTGCCGGGCTGGCAGGCAGGAGGCAGGAGTTGCCAGGGTGGCACCTGCCAATAGTGTGGCCAGCTGGCAGCAAAGGCCAAGTCCAAGGAGCAGATACCAAGACCAGGCACAAGCTGGGCAGCTTCAGGCCTCACCAAGGGCACCAACAGCAGAGTGTGACCCCGAGGGAGCCCGCAGCTGGCCTGGTGCCACAGCCAGGCTGCCAGCAAGACACTTCTCCACAAGCACCCACCTCCTCAGGCCCCAGCCTGTGCACAGAAGGAGCTCCAGGGATCAAGATGGCTCAAGTAAACAAGGGAAGCAGGCTGCAGTCAGGGATCCACGGGCACGCAGTGGAGTCAGGAGAAGCCCAGAGCAGGCAGCCCATGGAGGAGGCAGCTGCAAAACCTCTCAGGCCAAATGCTTCCAAGTGGCACTCTTGCCAGATTCAGATTTTCTGATTTAAAAGAAACCCAAAGTCTGGATTTTTATGCTGTCAAATACTCTTAGAGCACTGTATAGGGCAACAAAACTCTAGCCACATCTGGCCACTATGTGCTCTCTGAACTTCCATCTTCCAGCACCTACTGAGTGCAAGGTGTGGTGCCAGGCTACACTACTAGTCAGGCAAGGCCCCCTTGAGTCTTCTCCACCCAGCAGCCAAAAGCCATCATCCTAATCGGCAAACCAGGTGCACTGCTCCCCAACCCCTTGGCTGAACCCCCAAAGCCAGGAAGGGTCCAGCCCAGCCATCTCCATATTCATCTACTCCAGCCCCTTGCTCCTACTCTCCACACCCCAACCACGCCAGCCCCTTGCCTAGACCACCGACCAAGTGCATTCCAGTCAGGGGGCTATACCAAAAAGGCTCCCAACCTCTCTCCAGTCCAATCCCCTTCGCCCCTCAAGTCTCCTGTGAAGGGTCACCTCCTTGGTGAAGCCCTCCGCATCACAGAGATGTGCCCCGTCATGAGAGCATGCGTTCCATGAGGGCAAGGACCATCCAGTCTGGGGCAGGGGCCCACCTGAAATCTGTCAAACAAATGGACAGACGACTGGATGGAAATGCCTCCTCAGTCGGTCCTGGGGAGGACCCGTCCCAGATCTGCCTGGCTCTGATGTCTCCGTGATGCCCTCAGGAACACTGTCCCCAGCATGGGGAGCTCCATGGGAGAAGGGCTGTCTGGTCCCAGTCACCTCTGAAAGCCCAGCACAAGCAGGGTGATCGGCAAATGTGGAACAGGGCCACGTGCCTGCTAGCCTCCTCCTCCCTCTTTGGCTCTCAGGCTCCAGGGCTCCTGCTCTATGAAGGGAAGTGGGTGCCCTGCTGCCTCAGGTCCCACTGCACCTCCATATCCTTGGCCTCCTTGGGCCCAAGAGATAGAACCGTGAGTTCATCTCCACACCAGCTCTCCCCCCACATTAAGATGTGCGTGAGAGCATGCCCCGAAGGGTAGCAGATTCAAGTGGCGTCTGCAGATTTTTCCAAGGAGGGAGGGCTAGGGCCTCGGGGAAGCAGAGGACTGGCCAAGCCTGTGGTGAGTGTGCAAAGACCTGGCCTTCCTGGGCCTGAACACAGGGCCTCCAGCTGCAGAGCTGATCTGTCCAAGGCCTTCTTCATGCCCCCAAAATCCCAAACGTCCCTTGGAGGCCTCCCATCCCAGCAGGCTCAAGGCCAGGCCCACAGAGGGAAGGCAGTACCTGCACTGTGAGCAGATGTGCCTTCTTTCAACAGGTTGCCTAAATAAAAATCTCACTAAAGAAACAACTGAGGAGTCAAAGATGCCAAAGAAGAAAGGATGGGGTTGGAGCCTCCCCACGTCATACAGTCTGCTTCTTGGACAGCCTGGCACCCAAGTCCAGAGCAGTAAGAGCCCCTGGAGGGGTCCTCTTCTCTTTCTGGCCCAGTCTGCCCCTTCATGCAAAGAGGGGTACTAAAGCACAGTGGACAGAGGTCAGGGCCAACCAAAGTCCACCCAGCTATGCCATTAGCTCCTCCTATGAAGTGACCCTAAACAAGTGACTTTTCTGCCCGCAGCTTCAGTTTCCCCATCTACTGGTCAAGGAGGCATGCTCTGCCTGTCTCCTCCAGAGAGGACTTGCTGTAAGGTAAATCAATGCCTCCCGCCCGCTCCCTCCCACCACTAGCCACGTGCATGAGGCAGGCCACAGGACCAGTGCCAGCTGGGCACAGAGACCTCTCAGAATGTTTGGGATTCCTCCTGCCTGAAAGACAGATTGGCTCAAGGCTGGAAGTCTGCGCCCAGCCTGCCCTGGGGAGACCACAGCCTAGCCCCACTGCTTCCCAACTCACCAGACTTGGCTGGGACCTCTGCATCACTCCCGGGACCCCTGGGAAAGCATCCCAGATGCCATCTGCTTGGAAGGTCTGTGGGCAGGGACTTGGCAAAAGCCCATTGTGCCCTAGTGCCAGCCCGTGCCTGGCTCCAAGTCCACAGCAGTGACTTCAGCCCCATCTCCTCCTATGGCCCTGAAGCCCCTTTTCCTCAGATCTCATAGGATCTAGACCAGTGCCCTGAAATGATCCAAATCTGGATTTTGTTGTACTACCGAACCCACTAAAAGGAAACTCCCTCAAAGGTCCAGGGACATTACCTGGGGCTGTAGCTGCTGCTTCTAGCCCCCTGACAACAAAGGAGCAAGACCTGCCTAAATTTAAATCACAACTCTGCATTCCCTAGCTGAGTGACATGGGTCCATCACTTTAGTTCTCTTGACCCCAGTTTCCTCATCAGCTCACAGGGTGGTTCAAAGACTCAACTGATCACACATTTAAGGCATTCGGCAGATCCCTGGCATCTAGGAGTGCACAATTAAAGGCAGTTTAAACTCTGATGATAAACAGTTATTTTCCCAATTCCACTTCCAGTCAGGTGACCTTCCCAGACCTGGTGCCTCTCTGGATGGCAGAGTGCCTCTCTGCCTGGGCCACAGTATATACATTATCTACTCCCCGTCACAAATTTGCAGACGTACATCTGCAAAACACTCAGCATGGCACCTGCATATAGCACAGGCCCTCAGACACGGTAGCTGTGAGGATTATGGTTCCATAAGGAGGCCTCAGAAAGATGAGGCTGGGGAGCAGTGCAACGTACCACCTGTTCTACCTGCTCAAATTGGGTCAGGCTGGAGCTGTGTACCCAGCTGTTGCCATGGCACCCAACACACAGGGAAACAATCCAGCAAGGAGGGTGGGTGCTGCAGAAGCCAAGCCTCACCCTGCTTTGCTCAGACACCACCCATGCTACCACCGCCACCACTCTCTGGGTCATGTTAGGGGTCTCCGGAGGTACGGGCAGTATGCTACTGGATCTGGGCCCAGCATCTAAGCAGGTCTTATCACCCCTGACCCCACCCCAACTCCAAAACAATAGGGCCTTGGCTCTCTGGAGGGGTGGGCTGTGAAAAGGGGCTCCCAGGCTGCAGATCAGGGTGTGGGGGATAGGAATGGAGGAGGTGGAAACCCAGAAACCCCCATCTCCTCAGATCTTCTCTCCTCATCTCACTCAGCTTTTATCCATGATAAGGGTTGAGAAAGGCTGTTTAGGCTCAGCAGGGTTCAGGGAATCCATTACCCCTTGCCAAGAGGGAAGAAGGGGAGAGAGAGGTGAAATCCAGACGCTGTGGGCTAAGACCTGGAACTTTCCAGACTTTCCCAGATGAGGGAGCAGATTTAGGGCAATGGAAAGCCTAACAGGCGGGGTGACAGTGGCCCCAGGGCCTGGGACGACAACTTATGGTTGAATACCAATTCCTCAATAGGATCCAAGATCCCGCCCCCGACCCTGAGTGCACATGTAGGCCGCCTGCTGACTCCAGCTGGCCCCACCAAGACCTAGGAGGGGCTGGGGCCTGGGCTCCTCTGCTATAGTAACCACAGCTGCTGCAACAATTTGCCTGGGCCAGGCATGATATATACATTATCCACTCCCCTTCACAACTCTAGGGTGGGTGTGATTTCTCCCACTTCACAGAAGCAGCTAAGGCTCAAAGGAGAACAGGGTAGTGGTTAAAAGCACATCCTGAATTTGAATCCCTGCTCCGCCGTATTAACTCAGGCAAATCACTCCCTCTGAGCCTCAGTATCCACCTCTATAAAATGGGGATAATAATTTTACAGGCCTCCCCCAACCTCCACTCCACTCCATGGCATGGTCAAGGGGTTAAGTGAGAGCTGCTAGTAAAACAGAGTGTACAGCACCAATAGCTGGTTCCTGGAATCAGAGAGGTTAGGTAACTTGCCCTAGGTCACCCAGCCAGTAAGCAGCCGACCCCAGGTCCTAGCTCTGAGTACAGCCATTTCCCAGAAACCTTGGGCTGCTCTGTGGGTGGCCGCAGGATCACAGGCTTCCCAGGCAATGAGGACAGCCCCCACCCCCAAAGCAAAGGGCAGCCCTTCTCTGAATTCCTCAGATAAGCAGCTCCCAGCCTAAGAGGCCCAAGTGCACAGAAAAGGTACCCCGCCCTGTCCCACACGGGGGATTCCTAAATCTGGGTTAGGCTGTATGGCTCCTCTCCCTCCTCCCAGCAGAACATTCGACCACCAGATTTATCTAACAGGTTTCCAAAAAGGCCAAGTTCAGTTGACAACTGCCTCCTGCAAGCCACTTCCTCTCTCTGGGCCTCAGTTTCTCCATCTGTAACAGGCACCTCCATTTCAGAATCATGAGGCAGCCTCTGCTAACTGGGCCTGCAAGGAGGCCTGAGGAGCAAAGGGACAGACCAGGAAATAGAACCAGCTGGTCCCAGGCACTGGGCCAGGCCCTCCACCGCATTCTATATGCTGAAACTTCTTCACAATTCTAACAGAGATCTGTCTTGGGCCCAGAAAGTGGCAAGCTAGGACTCAAACTCCCATCTGCCAGACTCCAAGGTAGTCTCCTGGGCAGGCCAGTACTGTGTGACCCATGGTGGGCCCAGTCAGTGGGCACAGCTTGGGAACTCAGTCGCCCTCAACAATGAGATGGGCAGCTGGACCTGCAGGACAGGGAAGAACACACAACCCAACTTGACCAAACCCCTTTCTTTTAGAGGGCAGCAGCCTCCTTGACAAGGGCATTTGCAATGCAAAGCAGCCCAGCTTCAGCTAGAAGAGGACAGTCACTCAGAGGGGGCTGGGCAGGCCAAAATCCAGCCACCACCCTCCAGTCAGACCAGGAGTGCCTGGGGCAGGACATTCTCAGGTGCCAGAGAGTGCCAGGGAATCTGAGGCTGGCCCGGGCTCTAAATCATATGACAGCCCAAGTGGCCAGCTAGTTGCAAGGTGGCCTGGAACACTCCTCCTCTTCTCAGCCCTTCAGGGCACAAATCCCACTGGGCTCTTTGTGCCGAGTCTGCAAACGGGGCCTACCATGGGCTGTGTGCAAGGCCCCAAGACGGAGCTTAAAGGACAGACCACCAGTTATCTGGCTGGTCACCTGCAGACAGGGGCCCTGCACACTGCTAATTTCCTCAGGCCCAAACCTCCCAGATCACTCAGTCCAGCCTTGTGCAAACCTGCCCCAGACATAATCTCCAGGACTCTCTGGGCCCCAGGGGCAATTCCACACTCACCAAGTGGCTAGATCTCACTCATCATCCCCCTCCCCTGCAGGCACGACTGCCCCAGCTCCTACCTTGACGACAAGCTGACAAAATCTCCGCCATCCAGCAGCCGGACCTTGCAGAAGAGGACCCCGTTCACGAAGGGGACCGCAGTCAGTTCCTCCAGGGTGAAAGTGGTTTGGAATTTGAATTTCTTCTTCTTCATCAAGAAAGCCATGAGCGAGTTCCCTGAGTCTGAAGCCCCGAAGGCCAAAAAAAGGAGGGGGAGCCAGAAATCCCCAGGATTCCTTTCCCTACACCACACCCCCTCCTCAAAACACCAGAGCCGGATCCCGCCCAGATGGTGGCTGAGGCAGCAGAGCGGTGGGGAATCTGAGTCCGGAGGGTCCAAGTCTGAATGACCAGTCCAGTTCGCAAGGCGGCTGGCTTCACCCTCGGAGAGCTGGGGCTTGTAGGGGTTCGGAGTGGCCGGGGGCTTCACCGGCATGTAAACACTGGGGCATGGCCCAGGAGTCAAGGGCAGGGGTGGCGGGCGGCGCGCGAGCGGCCGCGCTGGCTGACAGCATCCCGAGCCGCGGTCTCCGGGAAGCTCACG